GGCACGATCTTGGTTCTCTGCAGCCTCTGCCTCCCAGGCTCCAGGTGTCCTCCCACCTCAACCTCTCAAGCAGTTGGGACTACAGGCGTGCACCACCACGCCTGGCTAATTTTTAGTATTTTTTTAGAGACAGGATTTCACCATGTTGCCCAGGCTGGTCCTGATCTCCTGGACCCAAGGAATCGGCCAGTGGAAGAGAGAAGGGGGAAATTTTTTTAAAAGTTGGTCAAGCCAATAGAAAGAAACAACAAAAACAAAAAGAAACAGAAGCAAAAAGACAGTATTATTATAGTGAAGAGACAACAGAACAGAAGGTGGTAGAAATAAGGTAAATTCTAGCAATAACAACATAAATGTGAAAACACCAACCCTGCCCACGAAAAAACACATTCCCAAATTGGACATTTTTTTAAAAAAATTCAAATACATGTTACTTTTAAGAAACCTATATACATCATCAAGACAGGGAACAATTGAAAATAAAGCTAAGGAAAAAGAAACATCATGCAAACATTCACCAAAATAAAACCTGACCAGCAATATTAACATTAGCTGAAAACATCTGGAGAGACAAAAGTATTACCAGGGATAAAAACGGCCCATTCCCTGAAGATAAAAGGAATGGCTCACCAGCAGTACAGCTCCACCTGTGCACACCCAACAATACTGCCTCACAGTTAGAAAGCAAAGATCAATAGAATTAAAAGGCAAAACTGGGCAAGCCTCAGTAAGTTATGACAGTTTTAATATATCTCTAAAACAAATCAAGCAGGTCCCAAATAATGAGAATATGAATGATTTTGACATCACAGTAACTTTAGTAAATGGGCATACAGAATGCAACGATTAGAAAATATACAACCTGTTTGCAGTAATTTGAGTTTATATACTCTTTTTACACATCAAACTTTTATTAAAACAAAAACATCTATGTTCTATGCAACAATGCAAATCTCTTCCATTACCAATAAGTGAATAACGTATGGAACTCAGTATGCTCAAAAGCTTCTAACAAACCTAACCCTCCTGTAGATAAGAACTAGGAACTTGAACAAAATACAAAAATCCAAAGACCTGAAGGTTGGAAGATCTGGGAGTCAATACCCAGAAGACAGGGAAAGCACAGGAGACGGAGGGAAGGCCTGGGCAGCGCCGTGCAGAAGGGCTAATGCCCCAACAGAAAGCTCGCAGTCCCTGTGATCTGAAGAACCAGAGGACAGAGTGCAGGGCAACGAGGTGACTGGAAAGTATACAGGAGGCATGCTGGAAAGGAGAGCTCCACAAAGGGGAAACCCAGACTTCTGCATATAAATTCTACCCAACTCTCAGGATGATGGCTACGTGGAAAAGAGTCTAGCTAAGGATAAAAGAATTGAGATTTGAGTTGCCACTCAAGATACAAACTCTGCAGTTTGAGTCCAACACAATTAACTGCCAGCTAAAATACTCTCCAAAGGAACAGGATTACATTTACAATATCCAGAACACAATCCAAAATTACCCGACACGTGAATAACTTAAAAAATGTGACCCCTTTTCAAGGGAAAAGACAACCAATGGAGACCAAACCAGAAAATGACCCAGATGTCACAGCAGACAAGAATTTTAAAGCAACTATTACCACATGCTCAAGGACTTAAAGGAAAACGTGCTCATGATAGACGAAAAGACAGGAAATCACAGCAGAGATACTGACGCTATAAAAGAACCAAATGGAGATACCATATGCGCCACATTCTCCATTATTATACATAGAATTATAAATCATGTTGTAAAGATAGCAAAAAATTATATGAAAAAATAAAAATTCAATTAATCTACAGCATAACATTTACTTTTTGCCACATGCTGTATTTACACACATTAACTTAATGATCTTAATTCTATAAAATACATGCAATTATTACCACCCTTTTACAAATAAAGAAATCAAGACACGATGAAGGGGTTAAATAAATTACCCAAGGTCACTCAAGCTAGTGGTAGAGGTAGGAAATCAAATCCAGCAATCCTGCCTCTAAATTCTTCCTATACTGTACTGCCTCTCTAGGGAAAAAGTATGTGGAAATTACAGACTATTGAGAAGGGGGTACTACAAATATGACAAATCAAAATGTGTATGTACCTAAAGGTGTGCTTAGAGGGAAATGTGTAGCCCTAAACATATCAATTAAAAATAAGGAAAGTATGGCCGGGCGCGGTGGCTCACGCCTGTAATCCCAGCACTTTGGGAGGCCGAGGCGGGTGGATCACGAGGTCAAGAGATCGAGACCATCCT